TGGTGTCTTGGGTTAAATGATTTCCAGCCTAACGTCATAAGTCATTTTTTTTCGTTGGTATATATTTTTTTTAATATTGGTATGTTCATTTATACATCTCAACATCGAGTACATACGTTGCATTATATCAACTTAAAACGTGTCAGATGCTCCCATTATATTATTTCGTTACAAGTGATTAAATTATATGTCTCCACCAAATAGGATACGGAGTATGATCAAGAAGTATCAGGACTGTTGCTATGGTAACGGAGTTATAGTACGTAGCATTAAGCCGCTTGGCACAGATAGACCTCGAACCCCTGCATGTACACTAAGCTATGACGTTCCCGTCTGCTTTCATTGTTTATAACAGTGTTTGGAAAGAAAGTGTGTAGAGTGTGATCGTCTCATGACACAACCGAAGTTCCATCAGAGTCTATGGCAAGTAATGTTTTGGGCCAAGAACTACATTCTTCATGCCCGGAAACTACCATATTCCCCAAATGACATTATTTGCGATTTATTCTTCTTTTCAAAAATCAACTCCCACATGAAAGGAACAATATTTCAAAACGTCGAGGAAATTCAAGAAAATGTGGGGGAAAAACAACAGGGAGAAGACAGTGTGAATTCTTGCTGTGTTTTCTGTTAATCCACGACTAGTGTTTCCGACCCAACCTGTATTGCGTTCTGCCTGTAAAGATGTTCTGCCACCACATTATGTGAGTTCAGTTATTTATAATTATAAAAGTCAGTGGGAATCTAAATATATAGGTAGAACTAATCAAATGTTGGAAACTACAATAGATCAGCACTGGCGATCTCAGATTCGTGCTGGGAAATGAGATACTTTGCATAAACTGTTAAATACGAAATTGCTGAACACTTACTAAATAATTCGGTGAGTGCTATGTAGTTTACCAAGGATTCATTTACCATAATCAGCAGAGACTACTCCGTTTACTACTTGAAAATATGACGGGCATTATATTGGGTTAGCTAAAACGTTCGTTCGCTTATTAAATAAAATGTTTACTTAAAAAAAAAAAATCTTTTGGCTAACTCAGTACATTAGGTTGAGGTAGCCTTTCTACTGTAAACAAAAGGAGTGGCTGCTAGGACTTAATATAATTTAATGTGATTATATTTTATCTTTCCTCTGCTGATTCCCTGACTATTCTTCCTTTATTGTTTTTAAACGTTCTTACACGCAATTTTCCCGTTTGTCCCCGATTGGCACCGAAGGGCGAGGAACGAAAACTGGTTAGAGTATTTTTCTTATTTTACTGTTTATTGTTGTTACTGTTTCGATTCACGACTTTATGATGATTTATTTTATTATTTTGCTTTTCTCCTCGCTCTTTGTTGTTGTTTTTATATACAATTTTAATATCCATTTTTATAGTATTAGTATATAAATATACTAATATTATAAATTATAGTTTTTATTACTATAGACGTTATTTTTAGTGGGCAAATGTATTTGAGTTCCTGTTCTTGTTCTGTTTTTATTTGTTTTTTTTTGTTTTTTTTCTTAAACAGTGACTTTAATAACAAACGACCGAGATAGAGAAGTCATAGTCAATCCACTAAAAAAAAAAAATCATTTACTTAAGGGAAAACTATTAAAGCACTGTGTTAGTAAAATGCTACGCAGCCGCAATTCGTTGATTCACCAGAATGTATTTACATGACATGTTTATGCAATATGAAACGCATCAGTATAAATAAGTTTAAAAAAATATTTTTTTAAAAATGTAAAAAAAAAATTAAAATTAAAAAAAAATTGTTTTTCCTGCATGAATGGTACCTGTATCCATTTTTTCTTAATTTTATTTTTCTGTAGTCGAAACGTCAGTCACTTAGATATATGCCATGCGTGATACACGCTTAGGCGATCATGTATCATTCGATACATGACTGACGAGGCAGATTTTTTTTTTCCTACAGTAGGTTGCCATTTCTTTCTGCAGTTGACCAGTTGCCATCCAAGTCTATATAACCCTGTCTGTCCTGCTATTTATCCATAGCTGGAGGGAGAAGACGACGATTCATACCTTCCCCAAGAGAATTAGCACGTGAATATAATGGATCTGACTGGAATTCTAACTCGGCTCTCGGATTTCTCAATCCCAGCTGCTACCAATTACTGCACAGTCGAAACCTGCTTTCCTTAAACAGGTAATTCAAAACTTGCTCCATCATCTCGGCCTGTGTAGCCAATTTGATAAAGGCACGTCTAGTCTATGGAAACGGTATTTATGAAGGAAAAAAGATATAGGTTCGATTCCTTTCTTTTGTAGGACTTCTCAACCTAGAATTTGTAGGTTCATACGAAAGCGACCGGAAAACTGAACGGGAGGTGATCGCACCTAGTTGAATCACCTGGAGTAGGGAGTCAGATATTAGTAAAGATTCGAAACCCCCATTGTTACCACTGATGATCATCATTGACGAAGCTTCCATGTGCAGGGCAACGATCTTCGACAAGTGTTTATTTAAAATATGATGAAACCAAACCACTAAATAAGTTTTTGAAAATATCAAAAATAAATTCAGACGTCATATTCGGCAATTAACATGGTATATTAATTCTATAACTATATTCTGAAAGATTTACCAGCATGAATTCGTTAATCCTACTTGTGAAAACGTTAACCTGCAGAGTAAGAAATGATATAGAGATATAAATGGGATAACTCGTGAGTTATCCCAGTCATATCAATGAAAAATATAGAGAATTGTTTGTCAAAGTTGCAAGTTATTTTATTCCCACATTTCATAAGTACCTCTCCGATATTGAATTGTAATTTTTCAGCATTAAACTTATAACTTCGACATATAACCGGAATTCCTCCACAAGACCGACTCTGGTAAAAATTCCTTCATTTAGATTTGAAATACCGCCTCTGCGAGCCAGGTGTCACCAATCTGACAATCACTGAGACAGAATATAATTTAAGCATATATATATATATATATATATATATATATATATATATATATATAGGTAACTATACTCGTTTTCGAAAAACCTTCGAATTTGCCAATAATCAAATCAATCTCGAAGGAAAAAAGGTTTTAAAAAGAGAAAGAGCTAGAAACATGAAAGTCTGTCGAAAAAAAATCGCACAGGTACAGGATTGAAGCCCCCCCAAATACCAACATGAGTAAACAATTAACTAACAAAAGTGCTCAATACCATTTCCCTGACGATCCGTTTAGGTGAAACCTAGGATAGGTTTATATATATATATATATATATATATATATATATATATATTATATATATATATATATATATATATATATATATATATATCAGGGCGGCCTGACGATTGAGTCGCCTCTGAGTGTTGACTTCAAAAGTTCATTTTATATTTAAATACGCTCTACCTCTGATATTGAGCAGTTTATCCCATAAAATAGCACATCTTAAAACTATATTTCTTCATATATATATATATATATATATATATATATATATATATAGGAATTATGACTTTTTGTAACACTATGTTCCTGTGATTATTTTTTTCTTTTAGTTCTTGAAAAAGATTACCTGCAAACCTAATATTCGATTTTACTATATACTCAATAAGGGTAAATATCAAAATATTTCAGAAGCTTTATTTTTTAATTTGCTAATGATGTAATTGGTTAGTACTTACGTATTTTAACGCATTTAACAGTTTATAGCTATAGCATAATATACAAACTTACAAATAAACAAAAATAATTTTTGGAAGTTTACATAAAGTTCTGGAAGACTCTATAAGTTTTAGAAAGTTCCAGAAAGTTATAAAAGCTCCAGAAAGTCACAGTACTACTAAATTTATATACGATTCTAGAAAATTCGTGTGGTGACATTTTTAAAAATATAAACTGAATTAAACCCATCTTCATTATGTTTTAACAAAAGTTCAACGAATTAAGAGAGAGGAAATCAATTATTTTAGAAAAGTAAAGAAGTCATAACCCTAATACATAGGTGTGTGTGTGTGTGTGTGTGTGTGTGTGTGTGTGTGTGTGTGTGTGTGTGTGTGTGTGTGTGTGTGTGTGTGTGTGTGTGTGTTTTGGCAGTAATCCTTCTTTCATGCACGCTTCATTGAATATGACAGACCAGGTGCTATGATTTAGTTTTTTTTATACAATTTCTCATGTGATCTTATATATATATATATATATATATATATATATATATATATTTTTTTTTCGGAGGATAAATTATATAAAAAATCCAATTGCTCTTTTTTTTTTCCGAGCGCTTTTTCTATACATTTAGCCATTTTCAAGGTTGAAATATATTAACTGTTTACAAGAAACATATTGCTGTATGTATTTATATAATGTTTTCATTTTCATAACACGGCTTATAACCTAAAGCGCTTGGAAAGAGAGAACAATTAGACAATTTCTATATAATTTATCCTCCGAAAAGAAAAAAAAATAAGATCACATGAGATCTTTCGATACATGAGTGACGAGGCAGATTTTTTTTTCCCGAAATAGGCTGCCATTTCTTTCTGCAGTAGACCAGTTGCAATCCAAGGCTATAGAACCCGGTCTGTCCTGCTATTTATCCATAGCTGGGGGTGGGGGTGATGGAGAAGAAGAGGTTTCATACCTTTCCCAAGGGTATTAGCACATAAGTGAATGTAATGGATTCTACTTTGATAGTTTTCTTTATAACAGTTTCTTTCACCCCACCCCGCTGCTTTTATTTTTATTTTCCTTCTTTCTCCCTTTTTTCAATTTCTTTTTTTCATTTTTTTCGTCTTAACATATTTGATACTTTTCCAAACTTTTCAATATTTTTTTAATGAGCTGTCGACTTACTGTTTTTTTTTTTTTTTTTTTTTTTTTGTTTCGTTACTCCATTCGCTTCTGTTTTTATTTCCTCGCTTTCTTGATTTGTCTTTACTTTTCATATAATCTTTAAGTTTTATTATATGAGTTTCTTATCTTGACATCTTTCCTTTTTATTTATCTATTTTTTGTTTCTTTGGTGTTCTCAGTTGAAACCTTCTCTCCATCACTTCATTCATTTCTCTTCTTTTTTTCTTTTCTTTTTTTAGATAAGCTAGATAGTCATTTTGGTTGATATCTTAAATAGTCTATTTAGATAATCTCTTTTGATAATCTTTTTATATCGTCTTAGTCTTTTCAGAAAATCTTGATTAAGATTATCAAAACTGAATAAAAATTTTTTTTAAAAAAAGACAATCTATAAAATATATCTTAAAATATTATGTAAAAACGGTAATCAAGTTTTTTTTTTCTGAAATGTCTAAAACGATAAAAAAAAGATTATCTAAAAGGATTATCTAAAAAGACTAAGATTATCAAAATTAACTAAAACGATTTTCTAAAAGGACTATCCCAAAAACTATAAATATATATATATATAAATATTATATAAAAAGTGTAGTCTTTTTTTGATAATTCTTTTAGATAATCATTTTAGATTATATTTTTGCATAACCTTCATAGTATTTTTAAATATTTTTTTAGTCTTTTTTATCAGATATTCTCAGTCACTTTAGTTAATCTTTTTAGACAAGAATCAGATCAGACCAAAAATGGAGTATTGCTTTTATATCTGAGCTGAAGATGCCCAGTCTCAGCTAACCTGCTTTGAGTTCAAAAGCGTCTACGCGGTTTTCTGGTTGATCAATTATTTTCTAACCTAAAATCCCTTTCCGGCAGAAGAAACTTCGCGAGCTTCTCGCTGCTCTATCGCTATTTCCATATCATATATTCTGACGAGATACAGTCACACTACCTTTGACCTTTATAACTGTAACCCACCATTTCGATTTCCAGTTCCATTCAGACAGCTTATTCCTAATAATTGCGGCTTTGTGGAACAGGCTCCAAGGAGGATTTTTTCACAATCACTACAAATTTGACCTCTTCTAGGCTAGGGTTAACCGTTATCTATTCTACATAAACCCATGAACTCCACTTCTTGCTTTTCCTTAGACTAATACAACACTATATAGTGACCCTCTACCTTGATTGGCTCCTGGATTTTGTACTGGGTGAAGATTATTATATAAAAGTTAATCATTTAGATAATCTTAGATAGTCTTTTTAGTTATTATTGCCGTTTTTATTTCCTTTTTTTAAACTCAACTCGATTCAGTGACTCCTTTTCTCTCTAAATTCTTTCTCTGGAGAGGTGATCGCGTTTTTCCAGACTTTCCTAAAATGTAGGAACTGCCTAACTAGAAAATTATCCTTTCAAACTAATAAATACCGTTTCCATAGACCAAACGTGCCTTTATCAAATTGGCTACACAGGCCTCGATGATGGAGCAAGTTTTGAATTACGTATTTAAGGAAAACACGTTTCGACTGTGGAGTTTATTTTTTACTTGATTTCAACCATAAATCCTAACGCCATTAGGAAACAAATAACTAAGGCAGGCACATAACCATTTACTCCTGTCTGGATAGTATGTCTAATCAGTTCGATAAAGTCAAATTGGCAACCAATGACCAAAACGACCTGTTTGTTAAATGGGGCAAAAATGGCTTCTTAATTTTAAAACTTTCAAAATTAAACTGCTCTCCAAGAGACCCCTCTCTGCCTTCCATCAGCATGACTGATTCTGACCTCCAGGTGAGTGGTTCGCTGCGCTATCTGGGGATAAGGTTCTCAGCTGACATGATGTGGAAAGACTATATTGAATCCATTGATAGATCAGTTACCAAGAAAGTTGGTTCATTGTATGGTGTGTGACAATTTTTCTCTCCAGTATCTATCCTACATATCTATAATATTGCCCATGCTTAGAATATTGTTGCCACATATGGGCCAATACGTTAGCTACTTATCTAGAGCTCCTTGATAAAATCCAAGGCAATATTATCGGTCCTGATATGACGTCATAGATTCAGTGATTTTCACACCGTCGTATGTTTGTATCTCTGTGTCTTTTCTGTAAATACTTCCAAGTTTGAATGAGCTCTTCCCCATGGCACCTAGAACATTTTTTTAATTTAATCGAATGGCGTCAAGATCTCATCAGTTGAATGGACTACATGTAACCGTAAATTCTATTTTAACAGTTACTTTTCTCGCTTTCGAGACTCTTTTCCGGCTCCATGTTTTCCAGCCAACTTTAATCTATTGTCCTTTTGATTAATTTTTTTGTTCTCGCTCATTAGTAATGTTTCTGTTTTTAATTCTTCCACAACCAGTAATCGCCTTGTGTCTTAGTGGCTTTACTGCCTTACGTGGAGTGAACTCGATTAAAAAAATAGCATCTTGGATTTTCTCTTTTTTCGACTAACTTTTCCTGCGATTAACATATCTTTTACTTCTCCCACTTTTACAATTATCTGTTCCTTCTCCTAACTTGCCTTATCAGTCCTCTTATAGAATTTCTTTTAACTCGAACACCTATTCTAACTCCTTGTCATCTCTCTCACTTCTTTCTTATTTTTCTCTCGTCTTCTACTTTCTTTATTTCTTTCTTTTTTTCACTCGTCATTTCCTTCTTTGGTTCTTTCTTTCTTTTTTTTCTTCAGATTTCACTCCCTTTATACTGGATTACGACTTGACGTTTTTCGATCGTTTTATATTTCTTCACCTTCTTTACCTTCTGGCTGTTACACTCATTTCTCTCTTTGCTGACAATCCGTATTTTCTATCTATCCTCTATAGATATGAAAAACCTCTGCAAAGTACATGTGTGAGGAACATATTAAAAAAAAAAAAAAAAATGGCGAAAAGAAGCGAACACAAAATACACGTCTAAAAACAACACGAGCCGATCTCAGTCCTTAATAGTTGGCCCATCAAAAGCCTTAATCTGTTGTTAGAACGGGTCGGGTTCCTCTTCTCATGTGATGGATCCACCACAAAATACACAAAATTACATCAGCAAAAACGAGAAAAAAAAATTAAAAGAAAAGGGAAAACGTGAAAGAAAAAACGTTAACGGAAAGCCGTGAGTAAAAACAAGTAATGTACACATGTTGTCTGAAAGTGTCAGCTCTAAGGGCGGCTAAGACGTCATGGCGGTCTTCTGCAGAGTGCGTCATGATGGGTTGGCGGCTTACAAAGGGCTACACGTGTATATATATATATATATATATATATATATATATATATATATATACGTGTAGCATGTGTGTACGTGTGTGCGCGTGTCTGTGTGTGTGTGCGTGCAAAGGGATATCAATAAGTCCACAACCTAATGAACAAAACTTTTATTCTACACAACAAATATCTACTATTCTATAAGATTAACATCTCTTTCAATGCACATAATTCAGAAGTGTCAATATATATAAATGTACATGTGCGTGTGTGTGTGTGCGCACACGCGTGTGTGACGTAAGAGAAAAATTAGAAAGATAATCTTCCTGTCCTTTTTAAATATTCTTAGTAAATAATTTTTGATTATCATTTTAGACAATATTATATTTTGGTAATGTTTTTTAGATAGTCTTATATATATATATATATATATATATATATATATATATATATATATATATATATTATAATATTTTTAAAAAATATTATTACTTCGGTACATAAGAGTTCTCATGTTTCAAAATTCGGCTCTCGTTTTTGAAACATGAGAACTCTTATGGAGCGAAGAAATCACATTTTTTTTTAAATAATTATAATTTAAGCTCTACTTCTGTATGAAGCACTGTTTTTTTTTTTAAATAAAAACAAAAATACTAAAGAACTCCGGATTATTTACCTAACGTGTTCTTTTCTATTTTTCTACATATTACACACACATATATATATATGTGTGTGTGTGTGTGTGTGTGTGTGTGTGTGTGTGTGTGTGTGTGTGTGTGTGTGTGTGTGAGTTAAAAGTTGTCGACTCAACCGACCTCTTAAAATCTAAACCAAATAGCCAAATATCATGACTTTGTGTTTGCAACCCACACTCGTCTCTCTCTCTTTCTCTCTCTCTCTCTCTCTCTATATATATATATATATATATGGATATAAAATATTCTCTTATACTCTGAGTACGCATTCATAAAAGTAGATTGTTTTATTCTATTAATAATCTATCTATCTATCTATCTATCTATCTATCTATCTATCTATTAGGCATAGTAATATAATGTGCCTTATGGCTTACACGCGCAAACGCACGGAATATATTCAAAATAACTGAAAATAAATATCATATCCTCGATGTAAAAGTAGATATATATATATATATATATATATATATATATATATATATATATATATATATATATATATATCACTATTGCTGGAAAGAATGTTATTCTGGTAAAGGATATCTACTAGAATTATTGTGTTGACATAAGCGCGTATGTTGCATCTAACATGATTGAGAGTTTTCTCTGTACACCACCCCTAAACGTTAGTCAAAGCATCTACAGAAACAGACATTGTACCCCTGAGTGCCAATAAATAGGGACATAATGTAAATCCATTTGAGGTTGCAATTTGGTAAAAGTGTTTAGCAAGCTGATATAGACGGGGAAGTGTTGATCTTTACACGACGAAATGGCTCCGTTTTCCATTTCCAGTTTGTTTATTTTTCTTTCTTTTTATGGAGACGATCGGCTCTTTTACCCTGTTATTTATCCTTTTATTTTTCACTCTTCGACAGGTGCTTTAATAAAAGAATAACCAGTATATATATATATATATATATATATATATATTAGCTGGCCACTCGTATACGAGGATACCCGTATACTAGGTTGGCTAGCCAATCCCTATTGCAGACGCTCGCTCAGGCACATTTGTGTTTGCTCAAGGCCCACAGAGCCGACCTGGTTTATACTGCAACTACGCTGAGCATACCTTAGAAACACTTTCTGGGAGAAAGCGTGTTATCTAGCGTGATCAACAATTTGAACAAGCCCTCGGCCACGATGACTTGTGGTTGGTGCAAGCACACCTATCGACGGCTCTCAAGAGTTCATGGTTTTCAGACACTTTCCAAAGGTGCCGTACGGTGGGATCGCTTCTTTCCGATAGCATCAGGAAGTCCCCTTCCTGACAAATCAATCATGCTGAGATTCGAACGTTCTAACCACTCGGTTACGATGCACGGTGGCTACGGCTACGATGTCGTGGCTACCACTCGGCTACGATGTCGTGGATAGCAGCAGGAATCGGAGAGCCTGCGGAGAGCCGAGTTCGAATTCCAATCGCATCCATTACATTCACTTACGCGCTAATACCCTTCGGAAATATATTGAACCTCTTCTTTTCCCTCCAGACAATCGACCATCATGAGATTCGAACCCGGTTCTCATGGTCAGAAAGCGAACGTTCTAACCTTTCGGCCATACATATATACATCTAACCTCTCGGACATACATATATATATATATATACATACATATACACTCGAAAAGTTTCCAGCCATTTAATTTCAACAAAAACGTAACCTACTCAGAGTAAGAACGCTTGAGGCTCCAACCGATTACTCCTTTTGGGATCTCAAACTTTCTACTTTTAAAATCTGTATGCAGATCTTACTCCAAGATTGACATCAGCTGCATCAACTACTCGGTTAGAGACAAATCTGGAGATAGGGGAACTGACAAAACAGGACGATTTAATGCTTTATCAAAGGCTCAGTATCAGAATAATCAATTCGCTCGCTCATCGTAATTACATGCCTAAAGTCACCAATGGCATCTCAATACCGAAGAGTTTGTTTTCACTCATGCGCAATAAGGCTCATTCTGTTTCCAATTTATATAAAGGCCATATATTGCGCCTTGTCATCTCAATTACAAAGACGAGCATCTCTGTACCATAACTACGTTTCAGCTGGCGCTGCGCGCTCATTGGCCTTGGAATGTCTCTTAAATTCAAATAAACTTTTAAAAAGACTGTTTTGCCTATTTTGTTTTTTTTTCCGTTTGATATTATGTACTTGTCTATGGATGGTTGTTGGTTGGTTTGGTAGTGTTTGTTTAGTGGCATACCAATACCTCTTATGGGTTATTTAATACCGAAATCTAAATATTTTTAACACAATTTTATGGTTTCAACTAAATATATTTTGTATATAATTGTATGCCTTAATCTACAGATAAAATGTATTGTTGGTCATTTTGCTATAAAATGTATTGTTCATAATTTTATTAAAAATAGGTATTTTACTATAAATATGTATTATTGAAAATAGGTATTTTACTCTGAATATGGATTATTGCTAATTTTACTATAAATATGTATCGTTGGTAATTTTTTTTTATATAAATATGTATTGTTGATATTTTTATACTTTCATAGTGTTTTGCTTTTGTTTGGGCGTTCGCTATTTGCCCGTAGCTGGGACCCCCTAGCAGGTGCTTCAAACCCGTGTCAGGGTGGAACGAGGAACAACAGCAATTAAGAGGTAGTTCCACGCTCCTCAAAACCATCAATCTCCCGATCAGATGCGCTGCTGCCAGATATAGTTTATCGTCATACCTAGGACTATCCATACTCGGTTGGGCCAGATTTACTATTACATTACATAAGACAGAGTCGAAATCAAGTCCTTTTTTTTTTGACAGCAACATTTATAATTAATCTAATGCCAATGCGCATCATTCTTTGTCAGATCCGACTTGCTTAAGATCAACTTGGCCACGAAGGGTCTCGCCGATCAGACAACGCCGTAATAGTGCCCTAAATCAGAAATTTCTTCAAAGATTCTCGAAGTATTGATATCTGCTTAGTTTTACATCCTAACGTAAGCAAAGCAATTCCTAAAGAAGTAATGGATTTTTATCTTTAAAAATCCGGCAGATTTTATCACTTGAACGTTATTTTTAGTGGATATCCATATTTAAGTAGACGCCTCGTTAACTTATTAAACAGTATATTTATTTATTTTTATCTACCGCCCTGAATATTCGAGAAAAGTTATTAAAGAAAAAATGCGCCTCTTGAGAAAAGCAGACACGGTTAGATTTCGCCGCAAGTCTGCATCAGCATTATCATCTGGTGTGGTTGTAGGGTCGATGCGCTGTAAACCAGTTTCCTCTCTCTCTCTCTCTCTCTCTCTCTATATATATATATATATATATATATATATATATATATATATATATATATATTGAAAGCTGTAGGTTATTCAACCATTCGCAACTTGTCTTTGGCAGGTCGCACTAGCAGATCCCATTCCTCTTTAAGACATTCCTTGGTGATGGTAACCATTGATTCTATTGGAGGAACCTTCTGTCCTAGCTGTCGGCTTCAGTCTAGGAAACTCTCTTCCCAGCGATATTGTCTCATTACGGCACTGGCTGCATACCCCATTGTGCTAGATTGCAGTTGACTCTACAAGACGGTACATCCGTCCTTTGACAGGTCTTGTTTTTAATCTTGCCTTGTGTCTAGGCACTCTACTCATCGGGAAAAAAACTTGTGAGAGAACCACTTTAGTCACGAAGGACCCAACAATGCGGCAGGTAGTATTAGGTTACATGGTACCACAGGCTTCATTCACTCATAGCCATTTTTAACAATTGATCTTACAAAGCGGTTTTATGCAGTTGAAAATTTAGATAGTTCTCAACAGGTTTGACGGCATGCATGACATCTCTATGAAAGTCTCGACCTGACGAGATTATTTAAGAATATGTCGCGAGTTTCCAATTTAATGTTTTAGTTGTGTAGAAATTTGCTGTATTGGGCAAAACTACCTCTGCGCAGCTGATTCTATGTTCAATCCCCTTATCTTCTGTACTAACTTTGTTATAACTGATCCATACACCGAGGCATGGCCACCTCGACGTGTTGTAATTGTTAGCAAGCTTGTCTTGCTAAAACAATTACGACTGAATAGTGAGTTTGATCCTCACTCTGTGCCCCTTACTTTCGGCCCTGTGCCACATCTAAGATGCAGTCAAATCTGTTCAGAAATATCTAACTATATAAAACCGCTTTGTAAGATCAATTGTTAAAAATGGCTTTGATTAAATGAAGTCTCTTGTTCTTGGTGAAGACCATCCTTCTTTAAACAGTGTGGATTGGCGCTACATAATCAAAGAAGTGTACGAAATAACAGAGACGACATCATTTGAGGAATTTCTACAAAAGCAACAGCTAAAATGGATATTATTGCAACTGAAGACAAAATAATGACAGGGTCAAGATTTTGAGATTCCAAACTCCATCAAATAAAAAGTTAGGAAGGAAACTCGCAATAAATGTGGAAAGATCAATAACAGCTACTGGACTTCAGACGCCTATTTTCCTGAAAATTTTTTATGAGAAAGATTTTATAAATTTCGATAGACAGTAGTACAACATGCTCACTCAATGAACGCTGAGTGTTTCCTTGTAAAGAAACACTTAATATTATTTTAGAAAAAATAAATACTTTTATATATGTAATATTTTCTTTCTTTTCTTTGCCTAATAAAGATAACATTATTTCATACAATAATGAGTAATCGCTTTGTGATTTTTTCTATATATAAATCTTTCCATCTTGATTCTAACTTTTGTAATAAATAAAAAGATACAAACATAAAATTATTTTCAGCCTCGCTACAAATGAAAATCTCTTCTCCTTTACGTGCCTTTTCCGCTTACGACGAAAGTGATCATGGCTCTCCACAAATCCATGTTCTTTGTAGCTCTTTTGTCTTTTTGTTATTTCTCCTCAACCTTGTTTCGCCATCCATTTACTCAAGCTCATTAAGTATTTTATACGCTTTTTTTCTCGGCACCTCTTGCCTTAAAGATGTCTTGTGAGTATCAGATTTCCCAAGCCCTCAGTTCTCATTATATATCCTAGTATTTTTAATTGTCTCTTTCTGGTGTTAAATATAAGTTTCCTTGTTGTTTCTATTTTCTCTAAAACATCGTCGTTGCTCAAATGTTCGGTCCATGATATTCTCACCATCCTTCTGTAGAACCAGATTTCTGTTGCATCAAGTCTCTTATTTATCTTTGAGGAGATTGTCCTGCATTCACTGCCATATAGAAAGACTGATATCACGTTACAATTCAGTATTCTTTTCTTTGTTTCTAAGGAATTTTTTCAATTTCTTAATACTTTGCTTAACTTTGGCTATCCCAATACGCCTTCAGATCTCAGTGTCGCACTTTCCATTCCCTG